ACTATTTTTGTTGACCTTTGTCCATGGAAGGTCCCTGCAAAATTTCATTGAAATTGGTTCAGGGGTTTTGGAGAAGAAGTCAAAAATGTAAATTGTTTACGGACGCACGACGGACAACGACGGACAAAAGGCGATCGCAATAGGTCACTTGAGACTTTGTCTCAGGTGACCTAAAAATGTAGGAGGAGATTGCCAGACAAAAAATCAAATACTGAAATGAACATAGGGCAATAACTTTTGAAAAATCGTTGAATCAAAATTCTTTTAAGGGAGACACAACAGCATACACAATGTATCATGATTATTTAGCCTACTAAGTTTCAAAGAAATCATTCAAAAAATGTAGGAGGAGATCTCCGGACAAAAAAAATCAAATACTGAAATGAACAAAGGGCAATAACTTTTGCAAAAATTGTTGAATCAAAATTATTTTAAGGGAGACACAACTTCATATCATGATTACAATGTATACCAAGTTTCAAAGAGATCGGTCAGCTGGCCGGCCGGACAACCCCATACCATAATACTTCTGTCAAATTTGACGGGCGTATAAAAAGGGAGAAAATCTAACTCAGAAAATAATTACCCCCCCCCCCCCCCCCCCGCTAAATCATCTATACAGAAAGGAGTATATACTTCCAGTTAAAGAAAATGAACAAAAAGGAAAAAAATATCTCTGAAGTGGAATTCTCCTTCGTGATTTTAACTGATGTAGAATATACTCAATGAAAAGACGATATGTTTAGCAGCGACACAAAAATCATGGAACACATTTTACCCTAATGTTGAGGGCTTAAAACTTGATAACACCCAAAAGTCGATCGGAAACCATTATAAAATATCCATCCTAATTTGAGTTTGACGTTTCATCCAAGAACGGGCCCTAGCTCTTTTAACTTTTACAGTGTAGACGAAACGAACACAAGCTGTTTCAGACTCGAAAACATTCACGTGTAAAAGTTCTTACTGCCGTTTGATTGTAACCACAGAGTGGGTTGGTAGAGCTATCTTAGGACTGTGCAACAGAAATATAAGAACTGTATGTATATAGTTCGTTTAATTTCGTGGGGCTAATATATATTTCACTGTTGTCCTGATCAGGACTAATTTGAAGGGATTCAATTTAACGTACCATTGCCAGGTAGAAATATTCTGCTCATGAGGGTAATTTTGGTTTTTTCAGTTAATGGGATTTATTTTACAAGTGTTTTATGAAAATAACACAAAATACGATTTTGAACAGGTATTTCATCTCCATTGCTCGCCAGAAAAAGGATTAACCCTTTCACTCCTGTAGACCATAATGGACTCATCCATATCAATGCATGGTAGAGTCTACTAAAGTTACATAGGGGTGAAAGGGTTAACAGCTCTTTTCATTCATATCTACTTATTCATGCTATTAAGATTGGCCAAGTATTTAATTTCGCGCTATATATGGTGACCGTTAATACAGCGAAATGAAATTCCCCTGCGAAAATTACCAACTATACAAATTTTTTTTGTATCTGATCATCTTATTCTACCCATGCAATGATGTGATCAGACAATAATTTATTCCGATGATTCTAGTTGGTTGAACATGTACTTACCTGGACGATACGAAGGAAGTGAAATTTAGACATTATACTGTACTTACTTGACACCCTCCCCTCGCTGTTCTCCTATCACCACTTGGACAATGAATTTATACCGGTCATATCCCAAATCTGTCAAATAGAATGGAAAATAATGTAGAGAAAGAATACAAACAGGTCAATCAAATCAATCATAAAACACAATGGTATATGATTGGAGATGAACAAATTAAATGTCCCACACCAGTATTGCATACTGGGAAATTTTCGCTGCAGTTAAACTTTTAACCTTTTTTGCCCTCTGTTATAACAACAAATTTATCAAGACAGCGTATCTGCCCGGACAGTGGGCTTGGTCACAGTGTAGGGTGGGCTTGCTGACAGTGTAGGGTAGGCTTGCTGACAGTGTAGGGTGGGCTTGCTGACAGTGTAGGGTACCCGCTGGGCTTGCTGACAGTGTAGGGTGGGCCTGCTGACAGTATATAGGGTATGGACTTTGCAGCTAACAATGTATAAATCAAATTTTCTATTTGAAGCTATGTTAATTTTGTTCATGTTGATGTATATTAGAAATATAAGGAATCACTTTGCGACTTTTCTTCATGTACATGTCTCTGTATATATTTCACTGTGTTTCCCTGTTTTGCCTTCAAACAACTTTGTAGTTACACGTGTGCAAGTAAAATTTTGATTTTTGTTGTTGTTGTTTTTAATGTACAGCCATACTATATACTTTGTCATTTCATATGAAGAGCGAAAATAACAGTGGGCCAATATGAATATACATATTTTACCTGTGAAGGGCGAAAGTTTCCGAGTATACCATAAAAGTGTACAGGATTAACCAATTTAATTAATATCAATGATACAATTCATAAAGTTCTATCACATCTCAGAGGAAATGAGACTGACTCCTCACAAAATTTGTGATGTACTCTAAACATTGCTGTCTCTCATAACAACCATTTATTATTCAAGTGAGTACGTATGTATATGTACCACAAGTACCCTGGACATAGTGTGTTACAGTTATCTCCCTTAACAATTCTTTAATCAATGTGCACATATTTTGGTGTTCCTTTTAAATGTGTCATTAGGTAGCTATATAGTGATATCCAAGTTCAAAGAATCATGCATGAAGATATTTATCAAGGTCATTAAGAGTGAGTCTTTCAGAAAGAAGATTTAGGTAAAAGAAAAACTTACGCATATAACTGCAAAAATCTTTTTGCCTTAGTGTGTCCCATCCTATTTTAACTTTGCCTTCTTGCCTCTGTGTGTTGTATCCTATTTTAGCTTGGCCCTATTGCCTTAGTGTGTCTTATCATATTTATTTTGCTTGGCCTACATGTTTATGCGTGCATGAGTGTGTTGCGTAGGATATGTGCATGCATGCATATTTATTTATAATTATTCTCTTCTGTATAACCACATTAACTTTGCACTGTTATGTAATTATTGTGTTGTTTTGCTGTGTATTTTAAGTTGTACTGCTTAAACAATAAACAAACTGAATGGAGTGTTTTAATTAGCCTTACATCCCCGCCACCCCTTCCAATAATCTACATCCTAACCCATCTATTCAGTTTGTTTAACCTTTTTGCCCTAATGTGTCCTAACCTAATGATATCTAATACTAAACTTGGCCCTCTAGGTCCTAGTGTGTCCTAACCTAATGATACTTAACACTAAACTTGGCCTTCTAGGTCCTAGTGTGTCATAACTCGTCTACTTAGCTTGGCCTTCTAGGTCTTAGTGTGTCCTAACTCGTCTACTTAGCTTGGCCTTCTAGGTCTTAGTGTGTCCTAGCTCGTCTTCTTAGCTTGGCCTTCTAGGTCCTAGAATGTCCTAACTCGTCTACTCTGAGCTTGGCCTTCTAGGTTCTAGTGTGTCCTAACTTGTCTTTTCAGCTTGGCCTTCTAAGTTCTAGTGTGTCCTAACTCATCTATTTAGCTTGGCCTTCTAGGTCCTAGTGTGTCCTAACTCATCTACTCAGCTTGGCCTTCTAGGTCCTAGAATGTCCTAACTCGTCTACTCTGAGCTTGGCTTTCTAGGTTCTAGTGTGTCCTAACTCGTCTACTTAGCTTGGTCTTCTAGGTCCTAGTGTGTCATAACTCGTCTACTTATCTTGGTCTTCTAGGTCCTAGTGTGTCCTAACTCGTCTTCTTAGCTTGGCCTTCTAGGTCCTAGTGTGTCATAACTCGTCTACTTATCTTGGTCTTCTAGGTCCTAGTGTGTCATAACTCGTCTACTTATCTTGGTCTTCTAGGTCCTAGTGTGTCATAACTCGTCTACTTAGCTTGGCCTTCTAGGTTCTAGTGTGTCTTAACTGGTCTAGCCTGAGCTTGGCCTTCTAGGTTCTAATGTGTCCTAACTCGTCTTCTTAGCTTGGCTTTCTAGGTTCTAGTGTGTCCTAACTTGTCTTTTCAGCTTGGCCTTCTAGGTCCTGGTGTGTCCTAACTCGTCTACTTAGCTTGGTCTTCTAGGTCTTAGTGTGTTCTAACTCGTCTACTTAGCTTGGTCTTCTAGGTCCTAGTGTGTCCTAACTCGTTTACTTAGCTTGGTCTTCTAGGGCCTAGTGTGTTCTAACTCGTCTACTTAGCTTGGTCTTCTAGGTCCTAGTGTGTCATAACTCGTCTACTTAGCTTGGTCTTCTAGGTCCTAGTGTGTCATAACTCGTCTACTTAGCTTGGCCTTCTAGGTCCTAGTAGCTTGGCCTTCTAGGTTCTAGTGTGTCCTAACTTGTCTACTCTGAGCTTGGCCTTCTAGGTTCTAGTGTGTCCTAACTCGTCTTCTTAGCTTGGCTTTCTAGGTTCTAGTGTGTCCTAACTCGTCTACTTAGCTTGGCTTTCTAGGTTCGAGTGTGTCCTAACTCGTCTACTTAGCTTGGCCTACTAGGTTCTAGTGTGTCCTAACTCGTCTTCTTAGCTTGGCCTTCTAGGTCCTAGTGTGTCCTTACTCGTCTACTTAGCTTGGCTTTCTAGGTTCGAGTGTGTCCTAACTCGTCTACTTAGCTTGGCCTACTAGGTTCTAGTGGGTCCTAACTCGTCTACTTAGCTTGGCCTTCTAGTTCCTTAGTGTGTCCTATCTTGACTACTTAGCTTGGCCTTCTAGGTCCTTAGTGTGTCCTAACTCATCTTTTTAGCTTGGCCTTCTAGGTTCTAGTTGGTCCTAACTGGTCTACTCAGCTTGGCCTTCATGCCCTAAAAATGAGTTATTCCTGCTGACCTTGAAACAGATCCAATTTCTTGTACATAGAACGCTGCTAATCTGCCAAGAATTGTTTTGAAGCAGAATTTCATTACCCTTTCAGTATAACGTTTTTTTGACAAAAGTAAATAGACAAGCACACATGTATCTCCTCACATCAGAGGGCCCACTGGAAAAATCCTGATAGCATCGTGGGATCCACTCATCAACACAATATGAACTGGTTAGATTAAAGATAAGGACATTTTTTTGCTAAAAGACAACAGGGCTGTCAGCAATTTAAAGGTAAGTAGGATGTGCAGCAATTAAGACATTTAGGGTTACTGACAAGTCTGACAAGGAAAAGTCTGCTTCTGAGGATAACATATGCAGGTTTATGAGAGCTTAGGTTATATGCTAGTAAGGGAGCAATGAAATTGCTAGACCCAAATTAAGTATCATAAATAATAATGGTGACCTTGACCGTTATCTTGACCGAAAACCGTTGAAACACAAAACTGTTCAAGGTATTCTCATGCATGACCAAGATATGAACTTTGATCAAAATTCCATGCATGAGTGAGGTTAGGGGATCGAGTGATGGCAAAATGTGAACATACGTACAAACGAACAAACTTACAAATGGACTTTTGGGACATTAGAACAGTAAAGGTTTACTGCACCTATAGTCACTTTAAAAAGAAAAAAAGAGGTTCATATAGGTTCCATAAAAGTAAAAACAAGAGGTTTAGTTGGCCTGTATAGCCTACGAAAAAGTGAGACCACAACAAAATGGTCATTGGGCCAAAATTGAAAAACTGAAACAGTGAGGTTAATTACGTGGGCTTATAGACCAAGTTAATGTTAGAACAAGATGTTTATCAGTTCTGTAGTTTTCTCCTGTTCTAGAAATTGAAAACATATCTTGTAAGTTCCATAAGTTAAGTAAGTGTCAAATTGTTAAACAGTTCCCATGGTCATATCAAAGTGTTTTTAAAATGACCCCAAGTTTCTACATTAAAATACCACACAATCTGTTAAAAAATATGTCTGTTTGAGATATTTGGTTTCCTTTTAGGATTTCACCGTTGATTCAGCCAATCAGAGATCGTGTTTCAAATATCACCAGATGATATAACAACCTCTTGCCTGGATTACTTGGATCACAACTCAACTGACGAAATCGAACTAATGGACTAAATTATTTTATTTACATTACAATGCAGACTTTCTTTGTAATGCATAAACTTGGGAATACAAAATCGCATGAATTTTGCAGTTGATGTATAATAAATCTGTGTATGGCATTAATCACTAAACTTTGATTATTTATCCAGATTCCAGAACAACCAGCTTCCCTAAAGTAGATCCCGTTCTGTACTTCAGACTTGTTTGATCGGCGGAATGTTGCTAGTGTAAATGCTGGCCTCCGCTCGGAAATGACATTAATGGATTGCAGGGAAATCTCCGATGTAACTTTAACACCCTGTCTTTTAAATATTCGTATCAACACGATCTAGTAAACATTTTACCACGCCACGATGTGCTACAGCATACCAGAACAGGCACTTTAAAGAATCTCAGAATATGCAAGTATTTGTATACTGTGAAATCAGATATTTTTGGTAGGGGCCCAAATTTCGTGGTTTTCCGACAAAACACCATTTCGTGGGTACATGAGTTCATGGATTACAAGTACCCACTCAAACAGAGAATTGCTTTATATCAAAGTTGTAATTACTTCGTGGACCTATGAATTTGTGGATGCATAAAGATTACACATATGTAATCATCGAAATTAAAAAAAACACGAAAATTAGTAAATTCACAGTACTTCGCTTTGTTGTGTACATTTATAGAGAGATTTTTGTTGTTGTGTACAATATTTGTGTAGTTCTACTGTGTTAAGGTTCCTGTATTTGTACAATATATTAAGATATTCA